CCATTTTGACTTTATAAAACAAAACTTCAAATAAAGAAGACTACAAATGCGTCGTCATCCCCAAAGACTAAGAAAGACCGCAATGCTGAAGACAACAATTAGACTCATTTTCTTACCCTTCATTCAATTCGCAACACATTGTTAGAAGCAGTGGCATTAATCGGCGGAAATAGGTAAGAGGATGCTTATCTCAAAGGTTTCTAGCGCAGATAAGGAGTTCCACCATGTAGTAAAATTCAGCAACATTGCTTTTTTAAATCAAAATGGCCGTGGCAGCCCCGTTGTACAGAGAGCCTACCACAAACTCTATAATAAATCTTTGTTAAACATCTTTAAGGCTTATCTTTAATAATAATTTTAAAATTAATAATAATAAATATCTATAATAATATCAATAAAAACAATAATAATAATAATAATATAATAATATTTAAAAAATATTAATAATAAATATGATTTTTTTATTTTTATTTTATTTTATTGATATTTATGTATATTTATCTTTTCATTTTAATTTATAATTATATATTTATAGAACCCAACCAGATGAGAAAACTATATATATATATATATATATATATATATATATATATATATATATATATATATATATATATACCCCATAATAATATTTAAAAAATATTAATAGTAATAATAATGATAATTGGTCGCAGGTTTGTTATCGCACGGCGCGGTCACTCGCTACTTTGGTGGGGAGTGGTTGTGTCGGCGTGTATAAATAGCAGCTGCTTCGACTCGCAGCCTTGCGCCCTCCTTTCTGCCAAGGAGGGTCGCGTTCGTATACGGCTTAGAGATCTCTAGTCAGATCGTTAAGCCAATTCCTAAAAGGCGGTGTTTAGTGGGTAAAAGTCTCCACATAACCACGTAGCCGGCTGCGTGGTATGCTATGAGCATTCCCCGTCTCCCTCCCCCGCTTTCCGGAGGGTTGCCCATATTTGCTTCGGGCGCAAAAAAAAACTCGCAGCCACAGAACACTATTACTCCTATCGGAGAAGAACGAAAACTTCATACAAAATTTAGGAAATGCGATATATAACCACTAGATCCATCTATCGTCAGCCTCCTGCACTTCTCGTGTGGCGGGAAAATTTGAACGTGGTCTTTTTTGGCATTTTTATTTGAGGTATTTTTTGGGTTGCCTATCCCAGCGCTAAAATAAAAGAACAAGTACAAAATTTCTATTTATTTATTCAAAATAAAAATACAAATTAGAATTAAAAAAACATACATACGACAAAATTTCTCCAGCAGCTTAGTTCTTTCTATAAATACATTTGATTGGTTTAAACATGAAAAGAAAATCAATATTGATTACAACATTTCAATTACTTAAGTAAACAGATGATAAACAATATATATACGATACAATAGAGAATGCACAATCACAAATCACAGAATGTCTACAATAACCAAAATATCAATATTTTAATCAAAAACAAGTTAATTAATAAATAAGCTCCTACACACAAGTGCAAAGTGCAACATTCACAAATAATAATTTTGTTTTGATAATATTTGGTTGTCTATCTATTTCCCTGAATTGACACTAAAATTTTTGTCTCTATATTATATGCAATATATTAAGTATTGAATGCAGCTTACAAAAAGAATAATTTTAATTCAAAATTATAAAAAATTTTAAATATTAGATAACAAAAATATTCCTTATTTCATTTTAAAAATTTTCATATAGAGTACTTTCTTTTTCAGGTTCAACATTATCTGTTATGCTTTGATGTTTGTGGTTGTTCTTCAGTGGATATAATGTTGTGCCTTTTGAAGATCCTGCTTATGGTTTTGCAGCAATCATTTGCGAGGGACCAGCTTGTGATTCCACTAAATAAAATGGGAATACTTTTTACACTTTGTTAGTCTGGAAATAAATAAAAACTGAAATAAATTATAGTATCATAAAATTATTATATAAAATTAAATTAACATTATATTCATTGACATTACTTTCATAGTAAACCAGACCCTGCTCATGGCACTACATTACCCTTCTACCAATACAATGTAAATGAATGGATCTTATACATCCAACTTGCACTATAATACACCCACTATTACAATTAATATAACAAAATAAGATAGTAAATACAATAACTATGTGAAAAGAAGTCTTGTGTTTATCTATTTGAGAACCATTTGATGCATGTATTTCTACTGTGTTGTACAAGTTGTGCCTTTAAATTTGATAGATTTAGGACGAAATGTAATTATTCATAGATTGTGATGCCTGAACTTTCTTAAGGTTTGTTGTTTTTTTTTAAATTGATTGTTAAAAATAATATGCAGTGTGTTGCACTTTTAATAATGTAAGGAAGGGCTTGTGCTAACTTTATAGACTTCAATCCTTTGGATGCTTTGGCCGATCCAATTATTATAAATTAGTTGAAAGCATTAACATTTAACAGGATTCAAAATACTGTATGTGGTCTGTCCATGCATGTTAGATCCAGGTGATGGTCATATGAAAATCATCATCATCTTCATTACAGTCTATCAAAGTCCACTCCTGAATATAGTAATCCCCATATAAAATATCTGAGTAATCCTTAAAGAAAACTATATACATACCATATTACCATAATATACATTATACACTTTACTTACATCACATGGGACTGCAGTTCTCAAGAGCTTTTTCTTGGTTGCATCATTAAATTAACCATCATGAAAATGTTTTTCACACAGCATTCTGGGCTTATTATGTAGCTTTGTCTGGAAAGCTAAAGTAGTATACTGCACTTGAGAAGGAATATAATATTTCGCCCACAATTTACAGCTGAAAACAAAAGATATAATTATTAAATACAAATATTATCAAAGTAGGTCCAATGGTTTACAAACCAATAATTTGTTTTTAAATGGTTAAAGAGAAACAATAAGTTGGACAAGAGATTTACTTTAAGGTTAGAACTTATTAAATAGTGTATATGTATATTGTATACGTACCGCAAAATATACTTTATTGCGGGTTTCGGAAACCTAAATAATTTAATGTTGTCAATGGTTGGTAAGCTGTTGCACTTAGAACACTTTTTCTATTTTCTTTATCCGCCATTGCAGCGTAGTTTTTAGTCACTATTTCGTATTTCACTACGAATCATTGACTAACACATTGCACATCATATAAACGAAGGACATTAATCTCAACTCAACATCGTAAACTTGCAAAATCTTAAGCAAAAGCAAAACAAACATAACAACCAATCATGAACAACAATAATTTATACGGCGGCGCCATATTATGAGGAATGAGAATTATATACTCATTTAGATATTTTGGTGCTACCCGTAAAAAAAGAAAACATTTATTTTTCTGTTACTGTCAAGGATATGCTAATATAATAACGTAGAAAAATACGACAGGCATAGTTATCTTCCTATGGATTATTATTTCTATATTCAAAATTTTTGAGTGTAATTTATCTTTAGCAAAAGCTTACTAATTATGAAACAAGACATATCTGACAAATGGCAATAATAAAATTCAGCCCCCGTAGGTATTTCATTCCGTCCATACAGAGTTGACCGGGCCTGCTCGCAGCTCACTTAGCGGTCAGCCGCCGTAGAGTCTACATCACCTGAGGATGCCTCGTGTAGAGGCGAAACACGTGTCGTATTATTGTTGATGTGTGTTGTTGGAACTAGTGGTGACTCTTCAATCCAAGTAAGACACATCATTGTATTTAGTTAGCGGAAGGTTGCAAAGTAATTAATATTTTATTATAATGTATGTGTGCCCATCCACATCGGGTACCCTAGTCGCTTGTTGTACCAGGTGGGAGAGCCCCAGCGACAAGGCATAATTTCACGCCTCTACCCCAGCGTGGTTAGTCTTATGGTATGGGAACAGCCAATCCCGACGACAGGCATTAAAGTCTCCAGAAAACTACAGTACTCAACTACAGTAGTGTACCAATATAGAGCCACATCACAGGATTTACTGAAGTGTTCAAATAGTCCAGTTGTCTCCTGGTCACAACTGTGCGACCGGTAGAAACAAGAATTAATTATTTTATCCATTCCTGTGTCTATCAATATCCAGATCCTGGAGAAAGTGTAGATTTCAAAGTGACGAAGACGCTTAAAGTAGATGTCATATCGGACATACACGTGTAATCCGACGAGCTGGTGGAGATTATGCTTCAATGTGTATCCAGGATTGTCAAGGTATGCCGCATCTAGACAACATCTAATCTGTATCTCAGTCAAGAAGAGTAAGCGTGGCTTGTCAGTCTCAAGGTGGCGCAGTGGACTGCATTGAACTTACAGTGCGGACTTGGATGTTTGGTGTTCTTTGATGGAGAGGGAGTGCAACCGCTGTAAAGACATACCTATGTTTTTCCTTTTATTACTTATTGGTGGAGTAGGTAAATAGGTTGAAAGAATGACAGTTGGACGAGGCGTCACACATATAACCTAGGGACGTAAACAGAGTTACAACATTGATGGTACCTAGCATGGAGATCGCAGATCGCGAGAGATACCCCCCCTGGAAATCGCCACCAGGCCCTCTACTCTAGTTGCCAACCAGCATGGTGGTACCATCCCAGGATTTTTCTTAAGATAACGGAGCAGCCTTTAACAAGTGGCTGGCTCATTTATTGGGCTTCCGCTTCCGTTTGATTCTTAATCGAGGATAAATGTAATTTCTATGAGCCACAGCATACACTTACTATCAGGTGGACCGTGTGCTCGCTTGTCATCCCTATTCTATAAAAAATACACCAAAATAAGGAAGAAAAATTATGTTCCTTCTTTTTTTCTGCTGACACAACATATACATGAATATAATTGTGGTAGCGACTATAAATAAACTGGTCACTCCGACGTATTAGAGTCGACAATGTTTTATAAGCAACGCGTCGCTTTGTTGGTTGTTGGTTAGTTGAGAGTCCGACACAAGTGCGTTAGCAGGGTTAAGCGCGTTTTTTTTTTTTGAAGTTTGTGCGTCAAAAATTTTCGGTGAAATGTTTTGCGAGATACCGAAATTGTTGCGGTGCTGCATATGCCTTCCACTACGAAAAGGTGTCCTGATATTCGGATATATAAATATTGTAAGTTTGGATCATTATGTTATTAGAATCTTCTTCTGTCTTCTTATTATTAAATCATAATAGTACATTCTGAACTTGGGGCTCACGTTCAAATAATAATCTGGGTAAAGTCAACCCTACTAACTTAAGTTATAATCCAAATTAATTCGTTCTTTTAAAACCCAACCATAAGGATGTCATCTCATCATCTCAGTTCGTACTTATTGTTCAGCTGGTGTAAATGTTATCACTGCTCTTATTTTAAAACATTACAGAGAAATATTAGTACCACCGCTCATATTCATATTTAACCTCTGTTTTACAAAAGTTTTTTATTCCACTGTCCTCAAAAAAGCCATAATCCATCCTTTTTATTTTTTAGACTAGTATCTAGGGGAAACAATATAATTTTAACAATTGTAGGCCCATTTCATTGCTTCCATATTAGTCGTAAGTGTTAGAAAGACATTAAAAAAACATCTTGTAAATTTCTTGGAAGGATATAATCCTTTTATCACACAGGCAGTATGGTTTTCGTTCGGGACAATCGATCAATGGTGCAATACATAGTCTCACTGATTTTGTTGTCAATGCCTTAGATAGCAAAATTAAACGCCTAGCTATATTTTTACACCTTACTAAGGTTTCGATACCTAGACTTGTAAATAAACTGGAAACATTAAGCATGAGAGGCACCCAACTTGACCTTTTCAAAGCTACTAAGTGTAAGGACACAGAGTGTAAAAGTAGGCGATTATATATAAATGGTTTTTGTTTTTTTTATAAGATATTATGACAAACGAGCACACAGTCCACCTGACGGTAAGTGGTTGCTGTGGCCCACATACATCAACATCTATGAGGATAGATACTCAATTACGAATCAAAATGCAGATGCGTTATCACCCGTGAGGACTAAGATGGAATACCTCATTTCCAGTAAAAAGTGTCTCCGGTTCTCTACACTCACCATACGAAACATAGCAGCATTTAGCTACTATATGTCGATAGTATTATGTGAGAGCGTGGTCCTTCCCCCGTCGAGCCGACCTATTCGTGCTTCAACTGTACTACTGAAATAACTGCAGCATGGCTTTACCACGTAATAAATGATGAAATGGTTATGAGATGGTTTTGATGAGATACAGTGTTCCTCAAGGCAATATTTAGGTAATATTTTAATCTTGTTTTTAGTTTATGTGAACAATATATGCTAACTCAGCATGGATAAGGAAAAGTTATAGCTTTTGAAGATGATACTGCCTTAGTATTATCCGAAAAAAAAACATGGAAAAAGGCCTGTAAGTCAGCTCAGCGTGGTTTTGAAATGGTATTAGAATGGCTAATGTTCTCCTGCTCAATATTGAAAAACAAACCTTATGACATTTAGTATTTAGTCTCTAAAACTACCTCCTAATCTTGAAATAATACCCCACAATCATTCTGATAACATTCTGTTTCCTAAAACAAACTGTGACTGTTCTAATCCAGAATGGGTCACTCTCTAAAATATCAGGGAATAATTATTGATTATAGACTCACTTTCAATCTTCACGTAAGCTTGTAAGTGTAGTAGGGTTCGAAAATTAATATTTGTGCTTAAACGCGTGAGAGATAAAGCTGAAAACAATTTTTTTTTGCTTATTATAAGCCATTGCTTTACTCCAATCCCACCTGGTAGTAAGTGGGGATGCAGCCTTAGATGATAAATCGCACTGCCTTAGCGTAACCAAAGCCTTGATGACGCCCAGATTGTATTTGGACGGAAAGATAGACGCAAATAGACGAAAATCCGAAGAAAACAAAAAAGGGGTGAAGACCCGCCGATCGCCTAGTCGCCCGATGGTTTTTTTATAGGAGAGGGGGCAAATGAGCATACGGCTCACCCGATGGTAAGTGATTACCGCCGCCCATGAACAGCTGCAACACCAAGGCGATTGCAGATGCGTTGCCAGCCTTTTAAAGACGAATAGGCTCTTTTTTTGATGGTCCCTAAGTCGTATCGGTCCGGAAAAAATCTCTGGTGGTAGTTGATTGTGGAAACGAGAGAGAGAGAGAGAGAGAGGAATTAAGGTGTGCAATTTCTGCACACACTCACCGAAATGCATCCTATAGAATACCGAGGGGCTAGCCACTCTGCGCATGTGCTGGAGACTGCCGAGGTTGGTTTCAACCAAATCAAGATCACCAATGAGCCTCTAAGCACGTCTCTCCACTGAGTGTAACGCTGCCGAGCGGCATTTTGCAGCACCAGTTCAAACGTTGTGGAACGGTGTGACGGCCGTACTTCATGCACGACCGGACTTGCGTTTTACAGAAGGTAAGAAGCTGCTCCAGCGTGAAGTACCGCTGCAGCCTTGCAAGGACACCAAGTTTCCTTGCGGCTGCTTTAACTCTGAACTCAATGAACGGCACATTGTCGAGGTTCGGAGAAAAATTCAACAACTAACAACTGAAGGCGGTCAGTTTACTTCAAGGATACTTTCCGGAAAGTAGGAGCCATGGTGAGCGGGTTCCCTTTAGCGGTGAAATGGCACTTTTGTGTTTTGGACGCGTTAAATCTCAAGAAATTGGCATCGCCCCATTCGGAGACTGACTGTAGTGTGAGATTCACACGCCCAACCATAGCTTCTCTTGGATTGATCCCGACTGGCTCGGGCACTTAGTTGGTATCTCTCCACAACTGTGCTATCGTTTGCATACCCACAGATATCAGGCATAAGCAGATCATTAATATTCAGCAGGATGAGAGTTGCGGAGAGAAGATCATTGAGGAACATTTAAAAAACAGGCTTTAACGAAAATTTTAAAAGTTCCGTAAAAGGAACTTTAAAATGGTTGATTTATATTATACATATCAGATCTTTGCTAATGTACATAAAATTACTTTTATACGTGGTAGAGCCATAAAGTTTCGGCCTATATACGTCCCACTGCCGGGGCACAGGCCTCCCCTCATTTCTGAGAGGGTTTTAGGGCAAGGAAGTGTCCGCCGCGCTGCCCCAATGTGTGTTGGCGAGCTTCACTTGCCTTCGAAATATATTTTTCTTATTTCTCAGACATGCAGGTTTCCTCACGATGTTTTCCTTCATCACCGAGCGAGTGATAAATCAGCCGCCGCCAGCATCAAGGAAATTATTATTGCAATTAACAATTTCATTGGTGCCAGCGGGGATCGAATCCGAATTACCCTTTTAACCCACGAACTACCATAGATTTCCAGAGTGACAAAACAGTTTAATGGTGCTGTGTTTCAGATGGTGATTGTAGGGGAGCCTTTTTATTGGAAACGGGGCATCTCATCTTAGTCCTTAAGGTTAAAAACGCATCGGAATTTTGATTATTTACCGCTGATATATGCAAATGTATATAGGCTACACCATTCACTTATCAGGTGGACTGTGTACACGTTTGCTACCCGTATTCTATAAAAAATATCGTGAAACATATACCTAGTTAACAGGTTGATTGCCGCGAAATCCGCGCGGAGTCAGGCCTTTACACGATGCCGTTGAAGGGGATGGCGGGAGTGGTAATTTCCAAGCATCAGTTTGCCGCCGACATTCGTACGGAGCGCTCGTTTTTGTATCATCAGCGTGGTTACGATCTATACTTATACGAATTACGACTGGTTTCGTTGTAAACGTTTTTTACGCAAATCGCAATTGATTTTCCGACACCTCGTTCTCGTTTTGGGCGTAAACGTATTAAACGTCGGCTAGTGTTTATATCATCCCCCAGTTCATCCGAAAATGAAAATAATACCGTTCCTTTCGAAACAAGGAATAAAATTCCTAAAAAACGACCTCGCCAAGTCCTTCGGGAGCATGAATAGGAGCTCTACTAAGTAGTGACTCATCTCTAGTAGTGCTTCATCTTCTGACGATTTTTGCCCCGAATCATCTGGATCATCATCGGATTCTGAATATTCGCGGACTAGTGACTTGGGTGTTCAGACAACTAATCCGGAAGAACCTGAAACTAACCCACAAATCTCACCTTGCCCAAATCATGGATTTCAAGAGGCTCTTTCTGTTCAGCAAGAAATTTCCGATCTTGACCTGCCTCAGCCTGTTGAACAAGAATTACTTTCTATATCACCCGATGTAGAATCACAGCCGCAACTAGTTCCCAGAAGAAAACAATTAGAGAAGCCTACAATTCCATGGTCAGAAACAAATGAGGGAATGACAAGTTTTGACTTTATTGGCAATCTAGGTCTAAAAATAAACATGCCTGCCGACAACAACCCGAAACCAATAGAATTTTTGAATATTTTTCTGGATGACGAATATTTGCAGTTTTTAGTAGAACAGATAAACAAACACGCTGCACATATATTTCAGAAACCTGGTGTAAGACAAAAGTCTAGAATAACTGAATGGAAAGATACGACTACGGAGGCACAGGTATTCGACTCAATCGCATTTCGGACTATTGCAAGACTCATAGGCTCTTCAACATTTCATGTTATAGAAAATATATGTCTCGTAATCGCTTCTTGTTACTGTTTAGATGTTTACATTTTTCAAATACAGAGGAAGGTGGTTTGAATAAAGTGGAGGAAATTATCAAACGGTTCAATGAAAAAATGAAGGCCATAATAAGCGCTCAAAAATGTTTGTCTTTGGATGAAAGTATGGTTCTGTGGAGGGGCCGACTTTTTTTCAAACAATACATAAAAAATAAACGCCACAAATATGGCATGAAGTTATATTTGCTGACGGAGCCTGATGGTCTTGTTTTGAGAATGCATTTATTTGGTGGATCTAGCGATATCACAAGTGGAAAAGGACACACTGAAAAAGTTGTTATGTATTTGCTGAATGTTTTTCTTGACAAAGGACATTCGGTGTTCATGGACAATTTCTATAATGGATATAATCTGGCTTTGAAATAATTGCAAAGAAAAACATACTGCTCGGGCACTTTACGAAAAAAACGCGAGTTTAACCCTACCATTGTAAGTACTAAGCTAAAGAAAGGAGAAAATATCTCCGTGTATCATCGTGGAGTTCATA